ATCTTAAAATCCGTAACACTCAAACTAAATCCCCATTTTTTTCTTAGTAATAGTAGTGATGCAAGTATTACAATGCCAAAATCTTTACACACACACACACATGCACCTCCACCTGCACACAGACATGGGTGTATGTATATTTGTGGGGGTGTACGTATGCTTGTGTGTGTACATATATAATTTTTAAATTCCCACCACAGTGAGCAAGGACAGTTATAATAAGACACATGCAATTATTTAATCTACCATCATATGGGAGGCATCGTTCCTTAAAACATTTCAGGGAAACCATATGCAAAGAATTTTTTTTTAACAAAGGATTTTGAAAGCGAGCAGGCCACATGTTCGCATCATCGGAATGTAAAAACAGCAGAAGGACAAGAAGGCCACCGCCCCGTGGATCCAGTGATCTCAAGCATGCCTCTTCAGGGGACGCCCGTGTGGGCAGTGTACAATGAATTATGCAGGCAGCGAGCAAAGTAAAATATCCAGACGGTACAGTCTTCCGCTAAGACTCAGGATTCATCAATAATCTAGACGCTGCCTTAAAATGGATTAAATACACTTGGAAAAAAACTGTGCACAGTAATGTCACGAAGAGCCTTCTCTAATCTAAATATTTTTTTTCCATCCTTTCTCGGTTGGTGTTTCTTTCCCGATGCGAAGCTCCTCTTCGCATGAATTATTTTATTTCTATTGTTTGTTTCAAATAAGGAAAAGCCGATCCCGCCAGACAGGTGCTCAGAGCGGACAGCTCTCTCCACGCGCTGCCTCCGTCACTTGAGTTTGACTCAGCTCCGTCAGTGAAAAATTAGACTTCATTTCAGTATGCTAATAGCAATCTCTCCAAAACAATGTAATCAAGGCCTCATGTGCACCTATAATTTCATCCTTGACACAAGCCTGACAGCTATTTATTGTCTGAAAGGAAAAGAGGGGAGGGGGCAGGGGGAAGGGAGGGGGGACTCCTACAAGCCCCTTCCCCCAGAACGAGCCCAGCAGCTTTCTGTTTGAAGGCAGAGTCTTTGCAAAGTCCAAAAAAAAAATGGCAATAATCATGGGGTTTACATATGTCTTGTCTTAAGCAATCAAGGCAGAGAGTTAACAGAGAAGCACATTCAGATGTGCCAATTCCCAAACCGCTCACCTCTGATGAGCCAGCTGTGAGCCGCGATTGTCACATTATAATTTAGGCAAAGGGGAAAAAAAAGGCATCAGAATACACACTGGATCAACATAATTATTCACAGCAGGATGCTGCAGAATTAATTTAGCCAATCAGAATTATACTTGGGGGCTGGGCTGCATTGCAGAGATCAAGGAGAGAAAGCAGGAGAGAGGGACGGGGAGGGGGGAGGGGAGCGCTGTTTTCAACACCTTTGTGGCATTTGGATAATCCAATCTTGAATATATTTTGAATGCATGTACGTGCAATGTTGTTTCTTTTCCATTTATTTACAAACACCTATGCAACACTCACAATGTGCTAGTCACCAGTCTAAGCACTTCCCAAATATTAGCTTATGTCATCCCCATGACTCTGAGGTAGGTACTATTATTAACCTTATTTTACATAACTGAAGCCCAGAGAAGTTCAAACACTCACCAAGGTCACACAGCTAAAATATGGCAGAGCCAAAAATCGAACCCAGGCAGGCTGGCTCCAGAGGCAACTGATCAGCACAGTTTAAAAAGGCTCTTGCTCCTAAACAAAGCAATTAGCAATTGCTATGGCTGGCGATGCACATTTAACCTATATATAGCATTATGTAGCAAAAGGGTCACCCTTCCTATCTTCCTTTAAGCTGATTTTCCTAAAGTTGATGGCAACCGACACTGCTAAATCCGCTGCTATACTTCAGGGCTGTTAACCAACCTGTCCAGGTATTATTTTCAAACTGGCAAGAGCACAGGGCTACCCCCAAGTCTCCCAGGGCTCTCTGCAACTCACAACGGAACGGCCTCAGCAACCAGGGTGGCGGCTCGACCTCCCCTTACTGATAGTCTCCCCATAGAACAGCAGCAGACGGGAGTCCAGGAGATGGATGGAAAGGCAAGGAAAAGTGGGCTGCTCAAAGAACAAGAGTTCGGTTAAACGCCTGGCATTAAGCACCGATAAAAGCTTGGAGGAGAAATTGGAGGCCTCGCTGAAACAACTTTTTGCCTGGATTTTGTCTGCAGAGTCAGGTGTGGGATTGCAGGAGAAGACACTCGCCTTGGCCGTAGGCGCAGGTGGCTTTAAACCAAAGCGGCCCTGGCCCTCTAGTTCACTCCCCTGCTTGGAATTCGGTCCCAAGGGGGGCATCGCAGGAGCCAGGAGGAGCCCTGATTTCCTTGAGAGAGTTGGGCTTCAGCGTGCATTTGCTGCTCCTGGTAATGGGGCGAAATGACAGGGAGCGACCCGGGGTTTTATGTCTGGCAATAATGTTTGATCTATGCCATTGTCAATGAGAACTGTGATTTAATCCATAAGGATATAGAGCCTCGTGATGAAAGGAGAATAACGACAAATCCTGATTAACAATCGCGGCTACACTAAAGCAGGTTACCATGGTAACGGGGCTGAAATTATACAACAAACTGGGATGCCATACCAGGCAAATTGCTCCGTGAAGGGGCCCTTTTCTGAAAGCATTTGGCTTTCTGTGTTCTCTAAAAATTAAGATTCAAGCTCCTTACTTTCAACTGGTATTAGCTTTTCCTCTCTTTTTTCTCTAAACACTCCCTCTTCAGTTGGTCTCAGATAATATGAGGGATAAACATGTACGCACAGGAAATGGAGCAAACAATTAAGCACATTTCAGCTCCTCTTTCCCCTGAAATAAGAGGACAAAACAAAATTATGGTAAAGGGAACCTTCCTTTCATATCATTCTTTTGATAAAATCATGCTTAATTCCTTGATTGAGGGAACTGGGGAAGTCAAAGTGTGCCCCAGTGAAATATTCTACTTCTCACTCCTTATAATAAAGTTCTCTGGATTTGTAGGGGGAAAGGAGCAAAATAAGAGATCAGAGTGGGGACTGGGAAAGGCAAAAGTATTTCCTTTGTTCCCAAGGATGTTTAATTTTTAATTAGGATTTTAAAAAATAAGAACACGGTTTTAAAATAATGTTGTCCAACATTTACTCAGAGTAATTTCAAAAACTAGGCAGTAAGTGAATCTGCACTGGTAAACATCACTTTAAAGCTATTATGGCTATTATCGCAACTGACTTTGGCGGTGAACCTTTACAAAATAGATCTTATCAAATAGTCTCGGAAAAATCTACTGCATTTAAACATCATACGCAATGTCCTCTTTTGGTTGCAGAGGAATATAAAGTGAGACATTAAAAACAAACAGAAAAATCATAGTCCTGAATATCCTTTTAAAGGGGCTAAAGATCAGAACGGGGGTTAAAGAAACTTAAACGCCGCAGATATTTAATATTCCTCCTTCCAAGACAGGAAAAGAAAAACCCCAGAGCCTCACATTTGTCAGGATTGCTACAGCTCCGGAAAGCACGTTTCCCTCAGGATTCCAGCACGGCTGTCAGTTTCAATCACCGAAGAGTAGTGCAGCCCAGTGGGAAGAACCTCAGACACCTTCTCCACACCCCCCTGCCAGCCAGGAAACCTCGTCCGGACATTTAGCCCTCTGGGTCTTGGGTTCCTCATCTGGGAAATGAATCCTAACACCCACCTCGCTTGCCTACCCAAGGTTCTGAGACAACTAGTAAAATACTGCATGTAAAACCATCCTCAAAATTGTGACGGTATTTGTTGTTAAATGGCTGCTACATCTTGTGATTCAATTACTCAACACTTACTGAGTGCCTGCTAGTGTTACACTAGGCACACCACCACCACGACAATCCCAGAACACCATTTTCATCTCGTAAAAAAACTGCTACCAAGTGTTTATTATCTCTAGCCAATCCTTATGGGCACTTTACGCCAAGCCAACACAAGCAAAGAAATTCTTTTGAAAAGCAGGCTATTTGTCAAGAGATGGAGTCCTTCACTCTGGCCCCGTTTATCTGTATGTCTTTAAGAGGCACACAACGGTGCTCATTGCTGTAAAGTCATGATACAAATGACGTGCACAACAAACATCAGAAGGTTGGGATATGACTCCATGCATGCTTAGCTCTGAGGTTTCCGTGTGTCCTCTGAGTACATTTTCTTTGTCTCTGTTATCACTATCCCTGCACTCCCATGTCACCAGCTGAAGGGGTGAAGGGGTGACAGCTAGGCCTATGTGGGTGACATTGTATGTCTCATGCACTGGTGTGGATTTTCCTTTTCTGTGCCAGACTCCTTCAGTTCAAATCTCAGCTCAGCCCTGTGACATTGTCCAAGTCCTGGAACCTTCTCTGTCTCAGTTTCCTCCCCTCTGAAGCTGGAGGATGGCAGTCGCACGGGCCTCCTGAGGCTGCTGGAAGAATCGTAGGTCATTCAGTGTAAAGCACGTAGAACCCGGCCCAGCACACAGTAGTTGCTCAGAAGATGTCAGCTCTTCTTTCTGTGGGTGTTCAGCACCCAGGGGTCCGGCCTGGTGGCCAGCGGGTGGCAGATAGCTCTCCTTTGACTCGAGCATCACTGTGTTGGATTTGAGTACCTTCAGACAGGCAGGCCCTCCGAAATTCACCAAATTTGCTCAGCACTTCCTCTGATGTCCCCTCATTACCTGCCTGGCCTCCAAAAAGGATTTCCGTTCACCAGCCTTGCACATGTTCCTGTATATTCATCTTTGGGCAACTGGTTCATTTTGTCTCTGTCTCTCACTCTGGGTCTTTGATTTTTTTTTTTTTTTTACCTTTATTTCTGTTAAGTCTGTGTGTGTGTATGTGTGTGTGTGTGTCTGGATCTTTCTCGCTCCTCCACTTTATTTCCACCTCCAACTGCTTTTAATTTCTATTTTTAGCTTTATTAAATAGAGTTTTATGTTCCCTGTTCTAATTTTTTAAAGCAAAGAGAAAGAATACATTTTTCTCTGAAAGAAACTATTTCTTTTTATTTAGCAGACCCTGATTCGTTTTTCCTGTGCATTACTGACATCTGAGAGAAAAGGTGCTCTCCACCCCTGCAGCAGAAAAATCCAAATTAGAAAACAGAAAAATTGGGTAATTATGAGTGTTACAAAACGGTTCGCGTAGGAGTTGTTCGTTCATTTGTTTTGTTTGTGATATCAGGGCCTGGGTACACTGAAACATGAATTTATTACAGACTGACAAATACTAAAGCTGGTAGATTAAAGTAAAGCTAAACATTTAGGGGGAAATGCCTGAAATCTGAAAATGAATCAAAACCAAAAACAGGAAATCTTTGAAAAACTAGGCAAATGATAGGGTTCGGGACATGCCACCCAAAAATGTGGCACCGTGGCATTTTTAAAAATGAGCAGAAGCAGGAAGGTCACTCTCTGACCTATCACCACTCTTCTCCTCTAAAGCAGGTCCTGAGTCTATCATTCGAGAGGTTTGCTCCTGGAAGACAGGAACGCTCCCATCTCTGAGCACAAGGTGACAAAGAGAAGAATCTGAACACCAGGCCTTGCTAAGTTCTCCCCAGTTTATCACCAATAAGTCTCACTCCCTTTGTCTAATCACACTTCTCCACACTGTCCCCTCCTCATCCAACCTGTCCATAAAGATACATCTCTTTGGGTCTTCAATTCTGAAGGCTCCCATGTCAAGGGACACCACACTAAATAAACGTGTATACTCTTCTCCTGTTAACCTGCCTCTTGTCACAGGTGCCTCAGCTATGAACCCAGTACTGGGTTGGAACAGAAATCTTCTCTCCCTACACAAATAAATGGAAAATACAGGCACTTTCTACCCAACTTTCAGGAACACAACCCCTTCTCTGCTTTGTATACTGAGTATACATTTCTCAAGACCTGTGTCATGCCAAGACCCAAAAATGCTGTTTTTAAAAGAAGTATTTTAAAATAAGAATATTGTTTCACCATATGATATTCAAATAAGCTCTTTTATTCACAGATTACATGTTCTTAGAATATATTAGCAAACCTGGCCCAATTAACATCATTACGTTCTCAGATTCTTTCTGATGAAATATCAACAGTGAGGAATTCGTAAAACATAAGAAATTCAAACCTAAGTATTCACTGGCATTTTCTACTCAAATACAAGAAATTCAAATTGCTCCTTTAATGTGTTAGTAAGGAAAATCTGTAAAATAACAGAATCTTGGATCTCAAAAGAATAGAGGGGTCTAAGGGATCAACCAACAGAGAAGCCTATTCCTCAGGGCCCAGGGCTAGGTGCCAGCCTCTACCTGCACAATTCTGGGGGCAAGGAGCCCAGCGAACCTCTAGGCCACCTGCTCCTGATGACCAGCTGTGGTGTTGCTGTGACTCTTGCTGCTTCTGCTGTTATTGTTACTGTGAGAGGGAATCCAAACCTCTCTCGCCCAATTTTCCACCCTTCGGGCTTAGTTCTGTACTGGCATAGTTGTATTAATATAAGTGTGGGATTTTTGCAAGTAGCTTTTACCCAGATAAAATTATGAAATAAATCAATAGTGAGAAACCTCTTGTTCCAAATACAATTGAGAAGGGGAAAAAAATATTTTTAGAGCCTTTGATTTCATTCAAAATGCAAAGAGCTTAATTTAGTCCAATAGGAAAATAATTTAGTTCTTACAATTCAGATTACCCGCTATATTAAATAAAAGAATGTCACTGAAAAAAGTGACATATTTGAGAAGTAGAAACATCAAAGCAGCCTTCTAATTTCTTGTCCTCGAAAACGAACCAAGGCCATATTTTGAAAATTGGTGGGCTCATGTGTCCCGTGGTCCACACTGCTCATGCCTGAAGTTGCAGGAAGTTTCTGTCCTGTCTTAGGCCACCCTTCCTTTTCCCTCTCCCTTCTCTGTGACATCCACACCCTGTCCTGAGGCTCCCAAGCCTTCCCATCTTCAAGCCCCTCTTTAGAGCTCATGCCTCTGAATCACCTCTCAAAGAAATTTCAGTTTAAAAGCTATTACCTCTATCTACATTGCACAGGGTTACATTCCAGTCACCCACCTCTGAACACCTTACAATTTACCACCCAGTTTACCAACAAAACATTCCAGAAACAGTTGGATCAGTTCAAAGAATCCTAGGCTTTTATTTCATCCATAAGCCACCCTTCGATCCAGTGAAATGAGCACTAAACTAAGAGTCAGAAGAACTACATTCCAATCCATGCTGCCTTACCTAATATTAGCTGTGTATTAGTGTGGTCTTGTTACTAACCTCTCTGATCCTCAGAGAGCATATTTTTAAGAAAAATATGGACAATGAGGATATTTGCTCTTCTCTTCCTAAGGTCAAATAAAACAATGTATAGAAACATGCCTCTAAAATTATGAAATTTTATGTTTACTTAAGGGATTACCGTATCTGTATAATTAATGTATTAACATACGGTTTTCAAGTTTCTGGGCAGGAGCTTACTTTAAACAGGAGCGTGCAAGGCAGGCTGCACCATCAGGCTCTGGGCTCCTCACCCTCCTCCATTCCACCGTCTGTGTCATGCACAGGATTCCAAGTGAGAGTTCCACTGAGAAACAAGGGCCTCCCACTTTAGAAAAGTCTGAAAACCACGGCGTTAACTGTTTTACCTCCAACATCACATGACTGATTCCTACTAAGTTTATGGTCAATGCTTCCTCATGGGCTAGCTCATTTGTTATATTAATAAAAGGATTTTTTACTGAATTTTTTTTATTTCCCAGTATACTACAATCTTCTTAAAATGAAACAGGCATAGAATAAGAAGATAAATACTGATCCCAGGTGTATGTTTGAGGCAGCCCATTTTGCCCTCAAAGAAGGCAGATAACAACTTCCAAACGTCAAAAGCACCTTTCAGACAATTGCCAGGAACAATGGCAGGGACCACAAAGTTCCTAAATTAAACAAACCACAAAACAATCCCTTCACACGACTGCACAAATGCGTAAAACTGATTTATAAAACAGTATTTTTAAGTTAAGTTGGGAACTAAAGGCAGAAACGTATTTTTGAAAGCTGGTGTCAAAATAAAGAAGGCACCAACGGTGACTTACTGAGCGAGCTAGCCATAATCCCAGCAACAAGGACAGGTTTTGCTCTGCCTGTTAGACATATGCCCTCTTCAGTACAAGCAAGGGTTCGAGATGGAGGAAAGAAACAAATTTTTGTCTTAGGCCAACACCTATCAGAGGTTACTGCAGAATTTGACAGAAATATATTTTGATCTATCTATGTGGTAAAGGAGCAAACAGTCTTTTCAGAGCAAATGCAACAAAACCAAAAATAGACAAATGGGACTTAACTAAACTAAAAAGCTTCTGCACAGCCAAAGAAAAACAGAGTGAAGAGACAATCTACAGAATGGGAGGAAATATTCACAAACTATACACCCGACAAAGGACTACTGTCCAGAATCTACAAGGGACTCAAACAAATCAGCACCACTATACAATCCATCCACCGTCTGTACCCCCTAAATTTACTGAAATAAAAAAAGAAGAAGAAAAGAAAAAGAAAAGAAGTCTTTTCAGGCCCATGGGAATGATGACTAGATGTGTTCCCAACGAGCTCTGCCTTCCCTGGTGGACGGCCAGCGGGGTAGAAATGCAAGAGGGAAGGAGGGAGGGAAGAAGAGACAATTTCTACTTTTAAGAAAGACATCAGAAAATGGGAAAGGAGGGACAAAGACACAGCCCCTCCCTCTGCCCCAGAACTTTCTGTTGCCTGCAACCCTGTGCCCCGCTTGACTGCAGGACCCCATCAGTTAGGCTGCTTCTAAGTTAGAAATAGCCCATGCAATATTTGCCTTAATGGCCTAAAATCTAAAATCAACAGGGGAAAAAAGTGGATTATGGTGCTCTAGAAGCCACACAGGCCTTGGCCCCAGCCTTCTGCATGGTCCTAACTCACCCCATGACCGCAGGCAGGTCCCCTGACCTCCCGCTACCTCACTTTACAAAATGAGGCAGTGCCACCAACACACGGCCCCTAAGGATCCTTTTGGCACTCCAGTTCCATCAGTGTTAGAGGAAACACTTGAGAATTTTACTTTTCTGCATGGTTAGTTATGCCTTTGTGGCAAGTCCTGTGTGCTTTAGGCCTGTGACATGTGTCAGGAGCGTCCCAGTGAAAGTCCAGAACAACACCTGCCAGTTTGGGGCTACACAAACGGATGTTGCGTTGAACCACATGAAACTGCTGGTATTTGACTCTCTTTGCTCACAAAATGGCAACTTCATATGGTTCAGCCTAAACATTCTTGGTGCAGGGGCACACAAACCCATAGAATATTGCCATCATCTTATGTTCAGCTGCTGTGCATTTTATACACTTGGGATCATGCACCTCACCTTTGCCTTACCCCAGTACAAATTTAAGTGTGATAATGTACACTAAATGCCATAAGTCAAATCCCAGTATTACAAACTGAAGTAGTTAATATGACTTAAGCTGATATTACTTCCACTGTTGTCAGCACAATGAAATTACTTCTTTTTTTTTTTTTTTTTGAGACAGAGCTTCACTCTGTTGCCTGGGCTAGAGTGCCATGGCATCAGCCTAGCTCACAGCAACCTCAAACTCCTGAGCTCAGGCAGGCATGCACCACCATGCCCGGCTAATTTTTTCTACATATTTTTAGTTGGCCAAGTAATTTCTTTGTATTTTTAGTAGAGACAGGGTCTTGCTCTTGCTCAGGCTGGTTTCGAACTCCTGACCTTCAGCAATCCACCCACCTTGGCCTCCCATAGTGCTAGGATTACAGGCATGAGCCACCAGGCCCAGCCGAAATTACTTCTTCCTGTCTAATGTATGATCTCGAAAGAAAGCACTTTGGATAGAATGGAACTGGCAGGCCTCTGTCACTCCAGGCAAACCATGGCGTCTCTTCTGTCCCCTTAGAGGTTCAGGTTTCAATGTTTGAAACCCAGAATGATTTCTTCCTCCTCATCACTCTGCCTCTCTCTGCAGTAAGCAACCCCCAGCGATGGAAGTGGACTGACCTAGAGCAGGCAGGCAGGCACGCTTACCTAGGACTCCAGAGAAAGAGAACCGTGTACAAGAAGAGCGAAGTATAAACACTGATGGTAAAGTGTCGAGTCCTAAAAGGATGGCGCATATTTCATTAATCTTTGACTCGTATAATTCTTACTCCATTTTCCTCTTCACCTTAAAGCAAAGCTAAGGTCAGATGTTACACGAAATTTAGATGTAATTGTGAGATTATACATTTAAGTTCCGCAGCCGGTTCCCTTGGCAACAGCTCTAATTCTCGCAGCCTACCTAGAATACAGAATACTCCGGAGCGAGAGTTCTTTGGGATGGATTCCTCAGAAAGCCCACGCTGCAGTCAGAACACAGCCTGAAAAACAGTATTTCAATACACATGCACAAAAAAATGTAATGGCATTTTTAAGACAAAGAATGAAAGTGGAGTTTATCACAGACGTATTTCAACCGAACACGCAGTCCAGTTGCTCTGTTCAGCCGTAGGAGAAGATCGCCCTCTTGAACATGGCACTGACATGGGGTGTGAAGCCACGCCTGGTCTGCTGTCCACGGAATGACAACAGGCCACAGGCAAACTTAGACCAGAACCTGTGCAAGAGGACGAACGTCTTCACCAAAGGGGCCCTCGAGCAAGAGCCGGCGCTGACAGTGCCGTATTGTGGGGGGCAGACATGGGTGTGTCCTACCGTCACCGCATTTGAGAGCAACAGGCACAGATAGATATAAAACTCCCACTCTGCCCCAACTCATGGGGCAAGAAAAGAATGCGCCTGCGTCTGTCTGCTGACTCCCATGCACTCAGCACCAAGGACGTAAAGTGCTGGATTGTGTTTCCAACTGGGAAACACCAGGTGTGGACAGCCATCCTTTTTCTTGTTTTCTTACGTGGTAATAGCGTCTGGCCTGTACGTAGAATTCTGCGAATTCACATCTACTGGAACAGCAGAAAGGTAGAGACAGTGGAAGAGAACTTGGGAAGCCAGGTGACATGGGAAAGGCATTTTATAATTTCTCAATACAGAAGTCGCTTAAACACAGGACCTGAGAGGTGGATGGAAGGGTCAGGAGAGGCAGCCTGCTAAGGTTCGGCCACAAAGAATCACAGTCATGACAGTCGGAACCGTTTCTCGAGCATTTACCGTGTGCCAGGCCACATGCATAGTACTTTGCATCCCTCTTCTCATGGAACCTAACAAGGGTGCTGAAACTCTGCCTTACGTAGGTCCAGGCCTGAAGGGCCTCACGGTTATTGGGTAAAGTGGTAAAGTGAGTAAAGTAAAGTGGTAAAGTAGAGACAGGGTCTCGCTCTTGCTCAGGCTGGTTTCGAACTCCTGACCTTCAGCAGTCCACCCACCTTGGCCTCCCATAGTGCTAGGATTACAGGCATGAGCCACCAGGCCCAGCCGAAATTACTTCTTCCTGTCTAATGTATGATCTCGAAAGAAATCACTTTGGGGAGAATGGAACTGGCAGGCCTCTTCCAACGAAGCCCAGGTTGGAACCTAGTATGCACTGTTTCTAAAACATCTCTCCTGGAACGTCTGAAGGGGAGAGGCCTAAGATCTATCCGTGCCCATGGGCAGGGCCTCGTCACTGAAGCGCTGAGGCAGGAGCCAAGCAGGGTGTCCCTGGCTGGGGAGCCTGGGTGTCCCGTGGACTGTCCTCTTTCTAACATGAGTCAGTAATACGAGTCTCATAGAGGGGCCTCGAGGATTCAGTGAGCTGGAACGCACAGCACTCAGCACAGTGAGCTACTGCTCCACCAACCGCAATCCCCTCCCCGCCACCAGTGCCCTCTCCAACCACCCCCATCACCACCCCACAGCCCGTGGAAAAACACGGTTCAAAAGGTACATCCTGCTGCCAATGGATCCAGGGACCACGGGCATCCTCAGAGTATCCACACCCAGCGTGGCTTCCCTTCCCTGAGATTTTGGATAGTTCCAGGCCTTTAAAAGGCACTTGCAGGACTCAGCTCCAAGGCAAGACCCTATACGGCGCCTGTTAACAGATGGTACAGTTTCCATGAGACCAGGCCTCCTGTAGAGGCATCCAGCCTCCTAGCCCAAGTGGCAACATGCAAATGGCCCAGGCCTTATTCCCCTAAAATGTGGGATCCATCCAGACTGAAAGGCAAAGACATATCTTTGTGTACTCACTCTTTAACTATCTACTTTACTATCTACTTTATGACTTCGGGTAAATTCTTTAACCCTTCTGAACCCAGCATAGTATCGGCATACAGTAGGCGTTTGGTAAATGGTAATTAGTATCTCATTACTAATACACATCACACAAGATTGTCGTTAGGCTTTTAAACATATCGGGAAGTACATCCACATTTCTAAGCCAAGCTATTGGAAAGTAGCTCTTAATGTTTCAGGAATAACTCTGGGGCTCACTGGTTGGCAGAATGCTCTTCATACTTGGGTGGGTTATACAACATGCCACTTTCTATGGACCAAATGTTTGTGTCCCCCCAAATTCACAGGCTAAAGCCTAAATCCCTAACATGATAGAACCAGGAGGTGGGGCCTAGGGTCAGGTCGTGGGGGTGAAGCCCCCATAAATGGAATTCGCGTCCTTTTAAGAGGACTGGCTGCTCCCTCTTCCTCTGCTCAGTGGGAAGGTGGCCACCTCTCAACCACGAAGTGAGCCCTCACCAGACACCGAATCCGCCAGGGCCTTGATCTTGGACTTTCAAGCCTCCAGAACTGTGGGAAACTAAATTTCTGCTGTGTAAGCCACCCAGTCTATGGTATTCTGCTACCAGCAGCCGAACTGACTAAGACACTGCTATAGACAGACCCCAGGCTTGGGGAGGGGACGCTCAAATAGGCCCAAAGATGCTATCGAGAATCCAATGACAAAAACGTCAGAGGGTGGCCTGGCAGGGCTGCAGCAGAGCGAGGATTTGATGTCTGTGTTTTGTGAAGGAGAAGACTTCACTTCCTTGGGTGACATTCCCTGTTTACAGAACGTTCAGGACCACTGTGGACCCATCGTCATTTTTAATGTACGTGTGGCTCACGTCAGTCGACCTGGAGAGAATTTTACTGGCAAGGTGGGAGCCATTTCACTCTATCTGAACCTTGGTAGAAGATAATTCATGTCAGTCTTCCTGTCTTTCCCTTTATTAATCAATTAGGAGACCAAAAAATGCAATAAAAAAATCATATAAAAGGCTTATAAACATCACTCAGAGCTTCTTCACCAGTCATTTGCTTTTGTTTAGCATAACCGGTTTTTTCCATAAGAGAAAATTAAATAAAACAGGAGATGTTATTGTTGTGGCTTAAGAGGAGATGTGGGGATTATACTTCTTAGGAAAGTGATCTCTGTCTCCTTCCTGTTTGTTCCAGGCATGCCGGCACTGTGTCCCAGCCCAGGAACATGCAGCGACAGAGTCCCCAGTGGCTGGCCACTGGGTGGACGCTGGCCACAGGCAGTGAGGGACAGCAGGGTGCCTGGGATCTTCTAAATCCCAGGGTACAAAGGGGCTCCCTGGCATTGCAATTTCTAACAAGCTCCGTAGGAATTTCTGTGGCCCATCAAAGCATGGGGACTAGAATTCCAAGCCATTAATGAATGACCAGGGACTCCAGGTTCGCTCTCTGAATGGTCAGGCGTTTACACCAGGAAACGGCTACCCTTAGCTGTCCCGCCTCACGCCACCCATGCTGTAACCTTTGCGGATGCTGTTCCCTGAGTGGCCTGCCCTCCCCTACAATATGTCTTCTTGCTCCCTGCAAAGCTAATTGCTACCTGCCCAAATCCTACATGGTCTTGAAAACAGTTAAATACCATTTCCACTCTTTCCTCTGTGTAGCTTTTCTTTGATCCTATCAGCCAGAAGTAATTTCTTCTGCGGCTAAATTTCCATGTAATTTGTGCCTTATTTGCATCGCCGTCCTCGCCTTCTACCTTGCACTGTGGACAGGAACGCAAGGTCCTCCCACACTGGAGGGCAAGCTTCCAGAGGGGAGAATCCACCTCACACTCACCTTTGTAGGCGCAGGAACTGGCACTCTATAGGTGCCCTGTTACTCCGGGGAGAAGGAAAAGATAGGAAACAAAGGAACAAAGGGAGGAGCGAGAATGTGTGTCCTTTCTGATAACTTTTATAGTCCTGTGGATTGCAAAAACAAGCTGAGCTTGCTCCACAGACCATTAACATTTCCATATACACACTCAGCCTGCTAATAAACGCACACGGAGGATTCTTAAAGGCCCTGTAAGAAAGGGTTTACATCCCGGCTTTAGCATCTGTGGCATCTAAAACCTGAGAAGGCTATTCCTCAGAGGTGTCATTAGCTTTCTGTGTGCCTTCACAGGCTCAAAGACAATTTGCTGGACTCCTAAGAATGCCAGTTTCTCTCCAGCCCCTACAAGATACATCTTAGCTACCGCTAGCATCGTCATTTGCTTTCTATGCCTTCAAAAGCACTGCGAGAGACACAGCCCCATGCTATTATTGGCACTGTTGGTTTCCCTGTGTAATATCAAAAGAGCCCTCCAAAGTGTCTCTGTGTGTGCGGTCTCAGTGTGTGTGCGCAGTGGCGCTAAGATTATTTTTTTCTGGCAAAATGTCTTGCCCACAAAGACAACCCCATTTTTATCTAATAGCTTCCCTACGAAAGAATGTCTGGGGAGAAACATTCACATAGCAACAGCCCTTATTTCATCCATGCAAACAGAACGAGAACAATGACAGCAGTGTTCTAAAACCTGAAGAAATGTTAACATATGTGCTCAAACTTAACATAACTAGAATCTCACGGCGGGATCAAGACACGGTCTACGTTTTCACCAAATGATCCCATTAGTCAGGGCACAGGCTCCCTAACTTCCTCTGAAACATTATTATCCTTTTATGAAAGAATTACAGTCTCTAATTCACAAAGTTGCTGAGGAATATTCCACACTGTAAATGTACAGTGTTTCTCAATGGAGATGCTACTAGCGTTTGGGGCAAGACAATTCTCTGCTGGTGGGGTAAGGGGACTGTCCTACACTCTGCTGGCTTTTTAGCATCCCTGACAATGCCAGTAGCACCCCCAGTCCTTGTGGTCACCAGAAGTGCCCCCTCCAACGCCCCCACCCACATTTCCAGTTAACCAGTTACTCCCAAGGGAGGCCAGTACTGTTGGCATATGGACAGAGGCACAGGCACACAGTTGAAAACCCAAGTTGCTACTACGTATCATATGTCACAGTATATGCATATGAATATACACACACACACTGTAGACATATATATATATAACTTGAGAGAGAGAAGGGACATGAGAGGAATGGAACTGATGATTGCTCAATATCAACTCTGAGCAAGCCAGACACCCAGAGCTTTCACACTATAATAAGCAGGTTTGGACACAGATTCAACTCAGAACATTTACAAACACAGAATGTCTTTATTTTTCCTAACAACTGGTACCTTTGCTTTTCTGAGCCTCCTGCAGCTCAGGGACAGAGAAATGAAGAGAGAAAACTTGACACAGCAAACGCACAGCATTGCCGCCCCTCCTGATCCACACGGCCCGACACCATGCAGTGTGTGCTCTCATTCTGCACGGATTCCAGCCTCCTCCTCACAGCCCGCCTCTCCCCTCCTCTTCCTCAAGGTCCTGCGTGGTGCTCTCAGTTCCCCTGAACCCAAGGCTGTGGGGTAGGGGGATGGGCATCTGCTCAAGGGTAAACTGAGGAAAACCATTGCTTCCCCTCATCACTTTTTTTTTTTTTGAGACAGAGTCTCACGTTGTTGCCCAGGCTAGAGTGAGTGCTGTGGCGTCAGCCTAGCTCACAGCAACCTCAAACTCCTGGGCTCAAGCAATCCTTCTGCCTCAACCTCCCAAGTAGCTGGGACTACAGGCATGTGCCACCATGCACGGCTAATTTTTTCTATATATATTAGTTGGCCAATTAATTTATTTCTATGTATAGTAGAGACAGGGTCTCACTCTTGCTCAGGCTGGTTTGAAACTCCTGACCTCGAGCAATCCGCCCGCCTTGGCCTCCCAGAGTGCTAGGATTACAGGTGTGAGCCACTGCGCCCGGCCCCCCTCATCATTTTATACATATTTTATTTTAAATTCTCAATAGCACCCAAAGATGTGTACTTTAATCCTCATTGCTAAGGTCAAGTACATCTTGCAAGTAGGGGAACCAAATCCTTTTCTCTCCAAAGCCTGTGCTCCCTTCTCTTTCCACCTTCACCTCTGCAATACCAGCTACAGCCATCACCACCAAGAATAGTGATGAGAATTATAATAATGCCAAGGGGTGTCCCTGATAGGAAAGCACCTACAGCAAATTCATGTCTGATTGCCTGTTAAAAGGTGCAGCCTCAGTCAGCCAGAAGCTAGAGAGATAGGGTGGTCTGTTTGATGGAATCAATTAGCCACCAGCAGCCTCTATTTGTGTAAAATAGAACCAGGAAGTGTTAAAATACCATCTTCTCCTCTCAAGGGGCTTGCAAACTAGTGAGAAAATTAAGACTTTGAGAGATTGCACGTTATACAGTGTTAAGGCTTAAGCAGGGCTGACAGTCAAGGCATTTGGAAGGTTACCAAGGAGACTGAATGTCTTCCTAAACTCCTGTCCTACAAAAAAAATTCTAAAACATAATCATATAGCAAGCTTTTGATGATTCATTGTAACATGTCCATTGCATACTAAATGTTTGTGGATGGATGAGTAAGTGAGGTGACGAAGGGTACCTTTGATGGAGAGGAAGAGTTAAATAGAAAAGAACAGCGGGTCTTTAGCACTAGATAAGATACAGTAGCTCCTGCACATTCTGCAGACTCAGCTGTATCCACAGGGAGAATTTCCCTCATAAAACACACAGACCACAGAGCCACGCAGAGAGGTGCGTGCCAAGTAGCACATTCTCCAGGCTCAGCCACTAGCTAAGTGAACCACGCCAGCCCCAACCATCACGCCTCTGGAGAACTGCAAAATAATGTGAGTTATGGAAGTCCAAACATCCGAGAGAGAGTCAAAAATGAAAAGCAGCAAATCCAGTGGTGCCACGTGATCTTAAATGTGTTTCTTGTCATGTTTTATCAGCATTGGAATTTAAACAGAAACTTTTCAAAGATCTCCTGAAGGATGCATCTGGAAAGAAAGAACATGCAGGATCCGCTCTCCCCCTCCTGAAACACACTCTGGTACCCAGGAGGATCCACAACCCGCTCCAGTTTGGGGGACGCGGCCCTGGATGAAAAGACTGAGCCGGCAGCTTGCCCAAATGCATAGAAAAACCATTCCACATGCAGACAATACAAAGATCCATTCTTCCTGATTGTCTGAAAAAAAACATACCTGACATTCAGTAACATTTAAATTTCCACAGTACCAAAAGAATAAAAATACTGAGTTTTCAAGTCTGAATTTCTTTACTTGTACTTACATTCAAACTCTGGCTTTTTAAAAATCACCAAACTTTCTTCTACTTAATCTTTCAACTAGTAGAAAGTAGTAACCTTTCTACTACAACCTTTCAAATTTTAATCAAATTAGCTAAGGTAACTCAATTCTCTTTTATCAATAAATATAACAAGTGCCTTAATCCCAGTATCAAATACTCATCTTTTGATGTGAAATAGTAAGCTGCAGGAAGGATCTCTGGCAAACATTATTTAATATATCACCCTTTATTCATCTTATCTGGGTGATTTTAGCCTCGTGATATCTACTCTTTTTTTTTTTTTTTTTTTTTTGAGACAGAGTCTCGCTTTGTTGCCCAGGCTAGAGTGAGTGCCATGGCGTCAGCCTAGCTCATAGCAACCTCAAACTCCTGGCTCAAGCAATCCTCCTGCCTCAGCCTCCCGAGTAGCTGGGACTACAGGCATTCGCCACCATGCCCGGCTAATTTTTTGTATATATATTAGTTGGCCAATTAATTTCTTTCTATTTTATAGTAGAGACGGGGTCTCGCTCTTGCTCAGGCTGGTTTCGAACTCCTGACCTCGAGCAATCCGCCCGCCTCGGCCTCCCAGAGAGCTAGGATTACAGGCGTGAGCCACCGCGCCCGGCCTGTGATTATCTACTCTTGCGAAACAAATCTAACCAGTAAAATGACAACTACATGCAAGCACGATCTCTAAACCAAGTTCAAAAGTGGGTTACCCATCCAAAGGTGGGTACAAACAGTTCAGGTCAGTTTCTCGTTCATCCCACTGAACTCCATATATATTTTACTTGTTTATAAAACAAGCCACACAATGTAAAAAGAATAAAGAAGATTGAACATAGTCCTTAACTTTAAAAACTTGAGGAGTAAAAAAAAAAAAAAAAAATCTAGACAATCCCAACAGATACCCCATAAAGAGAACAGAGTACTCTAGAATTTACAAACCAAGAGTGACTAAGAATACAAAGCTATGCATTCTAGTGAGATGTCTGCCAGTATGATCACCAAAATATCCCATCTGTAGCTAACTCGCAGGGGTGGGGAACCTTTTCACATTGGAAGGCTGTATTAATTTAGCCCTAATCAAATAAGGCCAAATTCAAGAAACTTCAATTAGATACACTTAAAAATATACATTATTTTGTAAAAATCTACTATATAAACTAAATAATTTCAAAAAATGAAAACAATTTGTTAATTTTAAAGTTAACTAACCTTTTAATGACTTTGCTGTGTCTGCTTTTTGTTGGAAAGCATTTGAGTATTTGGTTGCACCATGGAGGTCCGCAGCGTCAGCTGGTCCTCTAGATGGGTATCAGTCGTTCGTAACCTTAAGGGCGTCTTATTTGGGGTAGGTAGGAGAATGTAGATCCACAGTAATAAGCAGTTGAAAAGCAAGAAAGCATTTTTCGGGCATGTTGACAAAGGCATGGGTATTCTAACTGCATTTTTCCATATTTTGAATTGGATCTTTCTTAGCTTAAAAAAATGACTTTAAAATGTCATCTACTGAGAGCTCAATCAATTCCATCTGTAGTTCTTTAGGTGCCTTGGTGATATCAACTAGGTGAGTCTCAAATGTTAGTTTGAGTGTGATGTCATGATTCTCAAAGGCTGTGAACCTTTCATTGTATTCTCTAATTAATAGGTCTATAACAGCTGTGCAGTCTTCAAACGATTTGCATATAGTATCCTGCTCATCAATGACCTTTGCAAACTGGGGAAAATGCTCATCCAAAATTTCCTTTTGAAGAAGTGTTTTGAAAAAAGATAGCTTTTTTTCGAAATGCTTGGATTTTTTTGTCATGTACCACATATAGACTTGTAAAGAAATATTTACAATATTTACTTGTAAAGAAATATTTCTTTACCTTGTAAAGAAATACAACTACTTCATGAGCATAGCAGCCGTCAATTTAGCCCTTATGGCTTACTAATGTTCTAATTGTGCCAGTCTTTACCTTGTAAAGAAATATTCAAGTTGTTTTGATTTGACGTGATATCACACAGAAATGCTACATTCCTATAGAAATCTTTTCAATAATTCACATTGCTGATTATGTTAAACAAATTTAACAATCTGTTCTCACAGAGATAAAATTTTAGCTAACACCTGTCCCTGCCATAGCCAATACACTTTAGAATGATGTGGCAAATCCACACTGAACACCTCATCGTTCGACTTTAGCATGTTATGAAACTGATGATGCCTTGTTGCATTTGCACAAATATAATTAACAATACTTGTAACTTGTTGCGAAATGTCACTTACAATAGTAGCTTTAGCACAGAGATTTTGTTGATGTAAGATACAATGAAACGAAATGAGAACATCTGGATCTATTAATACTTTTTTTAATCTGTGTAATAACTGTTTTCCTGTCATGGAAGGTGCACTGTCTGTACATACACACTCACTAAATTTACCAAACTCAGTCCAATTTCATGACATTTATTTTGAAAGTTGCTGAAGATATCTATTCCCCATGTTCTGTTCACAAGAGTTCCCAAAGTTACTCTTCATAGCAAAGAAAATCTTCTGTTGTGACCCAAATAAAGTATAAAAGCTGTGCAGAGTCAGTAATATCAGTTGATTCATCCAAAGCAATTGAATAATATACATTTTCCTTTTGAAGTATTGCATGAAGTTGTGTTGTTAAATTGAAGGCTAATTCATGCTGTTGATCAGCGATGGTTCTCCTTGAAAGAGGCAGCTGTTTGTACCTTGAAACATTATTGGGGTCTAAGCATCCTACAACTTGACAATCTACATCACTGAATGGCTTCCTTATTTCACAAGTATATAATCTATTTTATAAGTTGCTTTAGTGGCATTATTTCCAGATCTTACTGTTGCGTGAAAGAATTGTCTTTGCTTTTGCTTTTCATCTTTTAATTTCTGCAATACAACCTTTTGCGCCTCTCCCTCTAATTTAAAAATATTTTTGGTCTTTATGAGTGTTATAATGCTGATGAGCACTGAATTTCTTTAATCTTGATATTGCAGTATCACAAAGCAATAAAATCATCTTATCTTCAGCAGAAACAAGACAGTATCGCAATTCCCAATCCTCATTAAAAAATCTGTTTTCTTCCTTCAGCATTCTCATAGTCATCCTTAACATGATGGGCTTTTTAAGCCGACAGAATTAAAAAACACTTTCGAGCTGTGCAACTATTCACAAATTCCACTTCAAACAGAAATACAGTTAGCCGATGTCAAAAGCTGATAACAGCCTGCCGTACTCGGCCAGCAAAAACTCTTGCCAATCAGCCTGTACGGTTGTGGCACCAGCCAGGCAGGGGAGTTACAGCTACTTCATGAGCATAGCAGCCGTCAATTTAGCCCTTATGGCTTACTAATGTTCTAATTGTGCCAGTCAATCTGCAAGAATTATTTCACTGAAACTTATTTTAATCTTTGGTATTTTAAATACATTCATTTTAAAAATAAAATAAAAATATAAAAGATGAACAAAAATGTATTAATAAAATTAAAAGGATTTGTTCTGTAAAATTTGGATTCAGTCAAAAGGCTGCACTTACGGACCTCGAAGCTACATGTGGCCTTAAAGCCACAGGTTCTCCACCCCTGCTCTAGAGGATGGGATTTTAGGGGTGATTTTTACTTCCTTTGCATCTTGGGCATTATTGGGCTTCATTCATAGTAGGACTGTATCTTTTAGCAAAAACAATACAGTATTTAAAAAATAAAAAGTAACTAAAACAGTCTATTTTTGCCTGTTGTCCTTCTCTACTTTGTCTGGCTTCAACAACTTTAACCTAAGACACAAGTCCTCTCATCACGCAGTATTTATTAATTTACTAACTATAATTTATTAATTATAAAACCTTGAATTCTTACCCAGGAGATAGTGTCCCAAGAACAGAATGAAAGTAGCACGACTTCCAGGCTTTTCCTTCTAAAGATAAATGCAGAGTCTTGGTGCAAAATTTGGCTCAGCTCCACAGGAAACTTTGACCCTTGGTGCCTTTTATTAATCTCAAATCATAAAAGCTGTGGCCAAGGCCTTCTGAAGGAGGTGATGGTTTTGTCCTAATATAAAATGACCAAGAGGCGCTCGTAACCTGTAGAGGATGATGCATGTTGTAAATATTAACACTAGCATCCATTTCTGGGAATGAACTTCTGTTCGTCATTAAATGACAACAGAGGTTAAGGTACTGCATCATCTATTATGCAATACCTTTGTGGATCAAGTGATATTTTGAACAACCAAAGATGTTTAAGAGGAAGAACTTTCATTAAAGACTTTGGGACAACTGTGATAGAAACATAGAACGTCTCTGTCATTCAGCGCTGCTCAATGGCTCCCCCTGTGCCTTCAAGACCAAGTTCAAGCTCCATAGCCTGGTGGATGAGCCTGGCCCTGAATGTTCTCAGCCTCATCCCGAGCACACTGCATCTGCACCGTCCCTCCACAACCCACGGGTCCAAACTGATCCGTCTCGCCTTAGTACCACCGCATAAGGTCTTCCCACTCCTGGATGCTCTCATTTCTCACCCCTCTCCTCTCTGTAGCTAACTCCTACTCCCGGCTCATGTCAAGCCTTTGACTACCTGGGTTCACTTTTCTATGAAAACTGTTTTGTGTTTTGTTTTATTTTGTTTTTTTGAGACAGAGTCTGACTCTGTTGCCCGGGCTAGAGTGCCATGGCATCAGCCTAGCTCACAGCAACCTCAAACTCCTGGGCTCAAGCAATCCTCCTACCTCAGCCTCCCAAGTAGCTGGGACTATAGGCATGCACCACCATGCCCGGCTAATTTTTTCTATATATTTTAGTTGGCCAATTAATTTCTTTCTAATTTTAGTAGAGACAGGGTCTCACTCTTGCTCAGACTGGTTTCAAACTCCTGACCTAGAGCCATCCACCCGCCTTGGCCTCCCAGAGTGTTAGGATTACAGGCATGAGCCACCTCGCCCGGCCGAAAACTTTGATGGGTTGGTGACGCCCTGCAAGATACTCCCAAGCCTTATTTATCCAGATGTCCCAGCATCCTGGGCTACACGCATAACAAGCAGACAGTACATGATTTTGGAAAGAATAACCTAGCCAGAAAGTTGCTCTCTGCTCCTCAAAAGAGCACCCGGTACCCTTCACACTCCCTAGAATGTTCTGGCACAAATTATTAAACTCATCGAAATCTGGAAGGCCATCACTATATACCTTCTGGAATCACTGGTGACCAACACATAGCAGCTAGTGCTTCATCAAATAGATGGAAGTGGTGAACTGTATCAAAGCCTCTTAGTTTGAATTTTATACTTTCTTTCAATCTTATAATTTAATATCACTATTTAATCATAAAGTTAATTATCTTCCAAAATAATGAATGTTGACTATCTTTCTAAATAATAAAATATACTTTCCCAGCATACAAACGAATAGCTTTATTTTTATGCTAGAACTGATGTGAAATTACATATCATGAATTATTCATGCCATCCAATTTAATTCAATTATTTTTACTGAATTCATATCTAATCCATAAAAATGTTAAACTCAACCAAAAAAAAAACCATCTCTGCATCCTTGAATAATAGATTTCTCGCAAAATTTCAGGAGCAATAAGTGGATATTTGGTTTGAAATGGCAAGGCATGTTATAATTGCAATGATGAAAATGATTTTAACTATTTAACCATACATTCTGTTCTATTTATTAACTGATGTCTCATAAAGGGAAACTTATTTAATATCAAAGTAGAATTATAGGAGCAGGAAGTGAGTCCTAGCTCCAATTATAGCACCAAAGTCACTTTTAGATTTTCCAGAAAATTCATACGTATAGCAGGCGGTGTCCCCTCAAATGGGAGCAGATACCTTCCCAATTAAAAGCATAAATGTTGTCCTTATACAAAAATAGATGTGATTTGCCCCTTCTTTGGGGCAAATCATAAAGGGGAAACCCACCATTCCCCACTCCTTAGTGGAAAGCACTTAGAGGCCCAGGCCACTATAACATGTTCCACTTAGCTGTCCTCTCACCTGCCAACCTCCTTGGAGCTGTCACCACATTCAGCAATGGCTTTGCCACTTGTGTCCCCATCCACCTGTCCATCCCAAATCCTGGCGCTATCTGGGGTGATCTCAATGTCCCCAAAGAAGGCCTTGAAACCCCCTTGCGTCTATGTCCCTCAATGTCTTCTGATCCTGTGGTCTGTACCAGCACTCTGCTTCCCCCACCCACAGCCACAGCCCCACCCAAGTCAGAGCCCTCTACCCCTGAGATGCCAGGGCCAATGGCCTCAGCCCCCTAGAACTCTCACTTTCCTCACACCTGCTCTGACCCCAAATGCATGCACCTGTATTTCATGGGTTCACCTAAGATGTAATTAAATTGAATAAACTTAATAACAACTACAACTGACACAAAGGTTTGGGAAACCCGTCACACTAACATCAGACTTCTCAGTGCAGACCTTGCAAGCCAGAAGGGATTGGGATCCCATTTTTAGTCTTCTTAGCCAGAACAACTGCCAGCCAAACATTTTGTATCCTGCAAACTAAGTTCCATAAATGATGGAGAGAAATAAAAGACTTTTCCAGACAAGTAAATGCTAAGAGAATTTGTCACTACTAGACTTGCCCTACAGGAAATGCTCAAAAGTGCATTATACATGGAACAGCACAATAGATACCCACCAGTGTAAAAATACCCAAAAGTTAAAGCCCACAGCTCTTATAAAGTAATAGCACAAAAGAGAAAACAAAAAAATAAGGTATCGTCCAACATGATGAATAGAACAGCATCCCACATATCAATGCTAACACTCAATGTGAATGGTCTGAATGTCCCACTTAAACACACAGACTTGCTGAATGGATGAAAAAACACAACCCAAATATTTTCTGTCTCTAAGAAATACATCTAAACCATAAGGACTCACACTGACTGAAGGTAAAGGGATGATAAAAAATATTCTAGGCAAATTGAAACCAAAAGCAAGCAGGTTTAGCCATTCTCATATCAGATAAAATAGATTTTAAATCAATAATGATAAAAAAGGACAAAGATGGTCATTATATAATGGTAAAGGGCACAATTCAACAGAAGACATAACAATCCTAAATATATAAGCACCTAACACAAGAACTCCCAGATTCATAAACCAAACGCTCCTAGATCTAAGCAAAGAAATAAACAGCAGCATATTAATTGCCAGGGACTTCAACACCCCAGTGACAGAACTGGACAGATCATCAAAGTAGAAAATGAATAAAGAAACACTGAACTTAAATGGGACTCTAGAACAAATGAATCTAAAAGACATTTACAGAATATCCTACCCCAAAACTACTGAATATACATTCTTCTCATCAGCATATGGGATATTTTCTAAGACTGATCATATCTTAGGCCACAAAACAAGTCTCAGCAAATTCAAAAAACTGAAATCATACCATGTATCTTCTCAGACCACAGTGGAATAAAACTAGAAATCAATTCCAAGAGAAACACTCAAATCTACATAAAGTCATGGAATTTAAACAACCTGCTGCTGAATAATCCTTGAATTAATAATGGAATTAAGATGAAATTTTTAAAAATCCTCAAACTGAATGGCAAAGGGAACGCAAGCTTTCAAAATCTATGGGATACAGCAGAAGCAGTCCTAAGAGGAAAGTTCATAGCTTTGGATGCCTACATCAAAAATAAAGATCACAAATTAACAACTTAATGTCACATCTCAAGGAACTAGAAAAAGAAGAACAAACCAAACCCAAAGCCAGCAGAAGAAAATAAATAAAACTCAGAGCATAACTAAATGAAATGAAAACCAAAAAAACCAAAGGATCAATGAAACAAACAGTTGGTTCTTTGAAAAGATAGGCAAAATCAATAGACCACTAGCCAGATTAACCAGAAAAACTCAAACAAGCTCAATCAGAAATGAAAAAGAAGGAATTACAACTGATACCATAGAAATACAAAATATCATCTGTGAATACTATGAAAACCACTACTCAAACTAGAAAACCTGGAGGAAATGGATAAATTCCTGGAAACACACAACCTCCCAAGCCTGAATCAGGAAGAAATAAAAAACCTGAACAGAGGGATACAAGCAGGAAGACTGAAGCATTAACAGAAAAATTTCCCAGCAACAGCAAAAAAGCCTTAACCCAGCCAGATTCACAGACAAATTCTACCAGACCTACAAAGAAGAACTGGGACCTATCCTACAGAAATTATTCCATAACATCAAGAAGGAGAGAATCCTCCCTAACTCATTCTATGAAACCAGTAACACCTTGATACCAAAACCAGGAAAGGACACAACAAAAAAGAAAACTATGGACCAATATCCCCTATGAACATAGATGCAAAGATCCTCAACAAAATACTAGCAAACCGAATTCAACAACACATCAAAAAAACAATTCACCATGATCCAGTTGGTTTCAACTGAGGGATACAAGGATGGTTCAACATATGCAAATCAATAAACATGTTTCACCACATAAACAGAATCAAAAACAAAGACTATATGATCATCCTGATATATGTAGGAAAAGCATTCAATAAATTCCAGTACCTTTTCATGATCAAAACCCTCCAAATAGGTATAGAAGGAACATGCCTCAAAATTATAAAAGCTACATATGACAAACTCACAGCCAACATCATACTGAACAGGGAAAAGTTGAAAGCATCCCCTTTAAGAACTGGAACAAGACAAGGGTGCCCATTGTCACCACTTCTACTTAATATAGTATTGGAAGTCCCAACCAGAGTAATCAGGCAAGAAAAAGAAATAAAATAAGTCCAAATTGGGAAAAAGGAGATCAAACTATCCCTGTTTGCTGATAATGATCTTATATCTAGAAAACCCTAAAGACTCCACCAAAGATACTTGGAATTGATAAATAAATTCAGCAAAGTCTCAGGCTACAACATCAACATACACAAGTCAGTAGCATTTCTATATACTAATAACAGTCAAGCTGAGAGTCAAACCAAAGATTCAATACCATTCACAATAGCTACAAAGAAAATAAAATACCTAGTAATATATTTAACCAAGGAGGTAAAAGAACTCTACAAGGAGAACTACAAAACGC